ACAATGAATAAAAAATGATCTCTTATGCACAAGATAAAGCTGTACTGTAAGGCTTTACTGTAAGTTCAGTCATAATGCTGTGCTGGTTTTATTGCAAATAGATTGTTTGCTTCTTGATCCATTAATCTGTGTGGAGCAGGTGTCATTTTCCCAACGAACCATATTCAAATATTTTTATTTCTCACAGCCCAAGTATGTTCACATGCTTACCAAAGCTCTCTTTATGGCTGTCATTGTAACTCCCTTATGCCAAAACTGTGCTCTCCAGATAATAGCAAAATACATTCTCAGATTATCCTCCAGTATGTTTTGTGGTCTTCAGCATATGTTTTGCATATTTAAACATACTGAAAAAGTTTGCGCCTTCTATTCTACTCATTTTAAAACATGCAATTAAATTAAATCACTTTGCTCACCATATCTGGTTAATCACTTTTTACACCCAAAATCAAAGGTCAGGTCTTTAACGTATAAATAATGTGCAATAGCTAAAATTTCACAATTTCAAAATTTATTTGGTATATTGTTTTCAAGTATTTATATATTTTCTATGTTTTTAAATTGTCTCATGTAACAAACACATACCTTTTTTGATTTCATAGGGTTTTTGCGTCAATGAGCAACATACTTTTAAGTGGTAAGAAAAATATTTATTATTTTCTGTTTGTTTTTTTTTAAACAATTAACATTTGAGAAGGATGGAATGGATATTTTATCAGAGTAATCAAAAAAAAAACATTTTGTAAGATAGAATTCAGTGCTAGAAGTATTAAGATTTATGCGTCTACATGGTCTGCATCTCTAGAGACAAAACATGCTTCCCTATTATGACTGGATATACATCTTTTAACACCTCTAAGTTTTTTTTAATAGGTTTCCAAATTTATCGAAAAGTTCCTCTAGAAATCTAAACTGCTTTCCAACTTTCGTCTCTCTTACAGACTTTAACAGCTTGTCTTTCTTGGTTGCTCCACAGTGCATCTAGCTCTACTCAATCTACCCATCAACTCTGACCTTGATTTTATTCCGTGCTGAAGAAAAACGTGTCCCCACAGAAATGTCACTGTAATGTTTAAACTTGTAGTTCATATGTTCAGGTTAATAATGGGCACTGTTATTTTCTATGACCGATTTACACTTCTGACAACGTTACATTTTAGTGCAGCACCTTCTTCCACATGTTTGTTGTGTCTCCTAAAAGACTTGTGGAAACACACACACACAAGATCTCATATAGTTCTTTTCAAGGATTACTTTTCCCATTTTTCCAAAAATTAGATTATTGAAGCACACAACTAACTGTTGTTCTGTCAATAGATTCTTCCTCATGAGCTCTGGATTTCTTGCAGCTCCCCCAGAGCTACAATTAGCTTCTTGGTTGCTCCTCTGATTAATCCTCTTCTTTGTTGTCTTGGTAGGTTAAAGTTGTAGTGGGACTTGTTATGGTTTTTATTATTTTGGGGAATTCTGGAGGCAGATTTCCCTGCGATAGACTGGCGACCTGTCCAGGGTTTACCCCGCCTTTTGCACGTAGACAGCTTGAGATAGGCACCAGCACCCCTCGTGACCCCAGCAGGGATAAAGCGTGACAGAAAATGTATGGATGAAGGCAAATTCTTTTATTGGATATTATTTAGTTCAACCAGATTATTGGCTTTGTCCTATTTATTTATCATTGAGCAAGTTGACTGTATGTGATTGAATCATAAAACAATCACTTTACCATCACAAGCAGATAAATGATATTCAGCACAATTGAAGCACATCCAGGAATTGATTTTGTTATCCATTTTAGCCCCTAAAAGTTTGTCTTCAACAGTAAAGTCCTCACCAAGATTGTACTACCTGATAAAGAGTGAGTGATCCAGCTGATATCACAATATCTGCGATTTCCAATGACACATATTCTGGATGTCTGTTCCATTCCCTATCATCTTTCTTTAAAACCTCTTTATTCACTGTTTATATTTAAGGTTATAAAATGTGTTGAGATAAAGTCCTAAACTGGGCTTATAATGTCCTCAGTCTTTATTTCAGAGAACCTTATCCCTAATTGAAGGTCATATTTTTTGTTGACTAAAAAAGAAAGCCCTGTTGGTTGTTAACACGTGTCATACTTTAAAAGAGTTATATAACAAATGCAATTTTGGTTCCTTTATTGGCCTTTTAGCTTGTGGAAATATAATTTTCTACAGTGGTACTAAAGCTTTAGGACATTCTCAATCTGAATAAATATACAAGTAAAAAAAACTACAATGTTTATTTTGTTTAGAAAGTTGCATTAGAAGCATTTAATAATCATTTGTGAAATATTTAGTTATTACAAATATTTAGTTAGTTATCAAAAGTCAAAATGAAGTTTCAAACGTGTCTTCTCACGAAACACTGTAGTTAATATCTGTATAAGTACTTTTACTAAAGTATTTAGTAACATTTCTACTGTTTGCATCTCATGAACATATTGATTCTAGAGAGATATAATACTGATACTCAAAATACTTATAATTCTTCAAAAATTTAAAAAATAAAACTTATAGAGACAAATATAAGTTCTAATTGCTGAAAGGAAAAATCCAAAAGGAAGAGTGTTATTAGCTAGAAAGAAATAACTATCAAAGTCATCAATCAGTGTCGCTCACTGTTTAAAAGTAAAATGTGATTTATAAGCATAGTTTGGAGTTCCAAATATCTGCAATCATTTGGAGAGCAAAAAGAAAGAATAAACTCCAGGGAGATGGGTTGATTCATTTTGAATTCAAAATCTCTGCCACCTTTTGATGTTACCATATTTAGACATAGCTTCAACACATAGCTATTGTTTGACCAGAAAGGTAATCTTAGACTGGCCGGTGTTCTCTGTCATGGCACCAGCCTCTGAATGTTTGGGTGGATTCCTCACTTTGGAGTCAAAGCCAAATGGTTCTAAAAAAGATTTTCTAAAAAAAAAAAAAAAAAAAAAAAAAGATTTTAGTCACCACCACAGATACACAACGGCAAAACAAACCTACAGGAATTTAAAACCTTGGTGGTGAGCTAAAAAAAAATGAAGGAAACTAAAATTATTATATCCATATTTTAGCCAGGTTGATCCAGAACTGGCTGGATTAATTTGACTCTCACATAGTGCTAGTTATGTGCCTCTCTTTAGCATCAGCTCATCTTTTCCTCAGAATTTCCTCTGAATCAACTCTAACCAGCAAAAAATTCTATTTATATTAATGTCATCAGATACTGAGCAGTTTAGTGTCTGTAGCACAAATATCATTTGAAGGATTAGAAATACTAACATATTCTTTCAAAACTTTTTGCTCCGATTTTCAGAGGGACAGTTTTGGAAACAATAGATAAGAATATTACTGTGAAGCATTATGGACCTCAAGGTTACCCACATGAACTAAAAACTACAACTGGTTACGTTAATCTTCAAAAAGTTACTTGTTTTTTAAAACACATACAGAGCAGATCTTCAAAGAAGGTGCAAAGCAATTTGCGCAAATAATTTAGAGACAGCGTGTGCAAACAGTTTGGTTTTTTTGTGCTTAGTCCCTCATCATTATGCAGATAATATTCCAATGACCAAACTGCACACATTTTTGGGTGGAAGTGTTTTAAGAGATGGGAACCTTTTGAAGATCCGGCCCATTAACCCAGGCTCTTCAAGTTATTTTGGGTTCCCTTTACGTAATGATAAATATGTTTTTAGCAATCCAGGTCAGAGCTTGTTACATGTGTTACTGTGCAGATGTATGTCAATAACGTCCTTTCTGGTCAACTTCAATGCGATTTAACACAAAATCTACCAGAGCAAAGAATTTTAAGAAATGGTTCAGCAAATAATCAAACTAATGGTTTGAGGTTTTTTTATTCTCTAAATATAACACAATGGTGAATGGAAGACAAATAAATACAGGATTTTTTTTTTTTTTAAATCATATGAATAATGCATCTCTTTACAGAGGAAGATAAGAGAGAAAAGTCAAAAAAAAAAGCACACACTCAACTATATGCCCATTTGGTTAATCAAACAATATTGGAAGAGAAAGACGTCAGTTAGGACGGCAGCAGTACCTCCCCTCTCTGGAAGATAAAAACCTTTCTAAGAGTTTTAGATCAGACCTTAACAACCTGCTACATATATGTTAGGTGCTACATGCATTTTAGTTACTCTGTCATGTACAACCTTAATCTTTTCCTCACTCCAATAACAGAATAAAACAAAACATAGTATAAGCACTGTGTAAAATAGTCACATATCCTATGTGCTTGGTCAAAATTCCTTAAGGCTTTTACATATAAATCTAGAGTTATGACATCATCTTTCCATTGCAAGAAAATTGTAAGTTTTTCCCTAAGGCAGGAGCAGAGTCCTCTGAGGGGTTTTCAAGTCCATTCCTTTGGAAGCAATATACCTATTTCTATTTTTATATCAGTTTCACAAGTCATTTGTCCAAGTCCAAGGCAAGTTATGAATCTCTAAAGACTCAGATTAACATTCCAACATTGAATGCATGCTGCTCTGTTATGAGTATAAATAATTATTTAACAAACCAACATTTAACAAGATTTCTTTCAGATCAATTAAACATTTAAAGCAACCCCTAACGATGTTAAGTTGCATAAAAAAGTTTAGAAAGATTAACACCACTTATTATTGAATTTGTGAATCAGTCAGTAAATGTTTTTACTTTGAAGAACAGGATATGTCTTTTTAATGCTGCTACCATTTTGAGAAATATGTTGAAGGTAATGAGAATATTTTTAAAACAAGCTATTTTAATGCACAAGTCAAATTGAGAATCATCCATGTTGTAATTACTGTAATGCTACGTGACAATAAAACATGAACCGATTGCTATGAGCCATTACTAGCCCATGGTCCCTGTTTAATTAATGGAACACACCCCTTGACAGGAAAGCATGTGCCTTTTTGTCAGAGCTACACTTGTGGAGCTCTTCCTGTAAATGCTGCTTAATGTTAGCATTTAAAACAAAAACGGAAAAACTTGAAACTCTCAGGGGGAATTATTAATAATTAAAATAAATGATTTCCTGTTATGGGTAAACTTTAACTCGAGATTAAATGAGAATTGAGAATCAAAGCATGAGTATGAATTAAAGTATAAGTCAAGTCTGACATCATGTGTTTTTTATTACCTAAGTGTGAATCCAGTCTAAGGACCAAAACAAACTCTGAAAAATTATCAAATGTGCTCTGCCTTTGTAAGTTTTTGAGGTTTTATAGGATTTTCCAACCATTTGGTCTGAAAATAAACGTTTTATGCATTTTTTGTTCATTAACTGTTTTTGATGGGCCAGAAACTGTAGTAGATAAGGAAGGAAAGAGGAAATATTGAAAAGTTTCTACTATCACTCAAGTCTGAAACCCCTAACAGTAGTGGTTTCGGAATCGAGCGTGCTTTGAAGTCCAATATGTCCTGAGTAGATCCAACCATGTTCTTATTCTAACCACTTGAGAAAATTTAAGAACTTCTTCATTCTTGCAGAGAATGTACAAGCCCAAATTTACAGATAAAGTGTTCATCTCTGTATGAGATTCAGCAAATAAAACCAGTTTTTACTTAGCTCTCATGCATTCACATTGAGTGCTTTACATTCTTTTTAGCATGCATTGGCACATGCAAAGAAAGTAGCAAAATTCACAACATATATTGTTTACTGTAACAAAGAGGAAGGACATTCTTGCTTTAGAAATAAAATCAGTTTCCGATAGCTACAAGAAGAAACAGAAGAAACAGACTTCTGTCATGCGCAAAAAAAAATCAATAAACGAGGCTTACAGTCTGTGCAGACTTTTCCTCTTCAACTATGCCCTTTACACTGAATTTCGCCTTAAACTTGAGAACTCCGGAAAGCTGTGCTCAGGCGATAATGTGCTTCCAGGGGAAGAGAGTCCAAAATTGTCCCTGGATCTTGATGAGCAGCCTTCAATCATATAAGACACTGAGTTGTAGTAAACTGAGTTAATGTGGCCTCCATGGTGTTTGCTGCGGTTCACCATAGGGCTGTCACAAATCTCTGATTGGTAACACACACAAGAGGAACAGAGGGAGCTGAAGCTTGTCTCCTCCCTTTGCCTTCCTTTCTTGATTTGAAAATGCAGCCTGTGCCTACAGGGATTTTCTTGTCTCTCTGTGTCCTCAGCTGGAGAAGGGATAAGGTTGGTGCGACTTGTTCCCTCCTGCATAGGGAGGAAGAGTGTACTGTGGCTGCGGCTGTGCTTCAAGGTGTTCCTGTTCCTCTCCCTGCGACTGTCTCTACTCTGTTCCCCTACAACACAGAGGCTGGTCGGCCCTTCTAAAAGACCCTTGTCCCTCTTCAGTGAAGCTCTCTCCTGAGCATCACGTCTCTCATCCTCTGTGTTCATGGTGAGGAAACGCAGAACCACCAAATTAAGAAAAGCCCCAATGACAGTCAGCCCCACCAGAATGTACATGAAGCTGAAAGCAACATAAGGAGTTTTCTCCTGGAGATCCTCCTTTTTCTGCAGGGCCACAAAGTCCCCAAAGCCAATGGTGGTGAGGGTGATGAAGCAGTAATAGTAAGCATGGAAAAAGCTCCATCCCTCAAAGTGGGAAAAGGCTGCGGCTCCCACACATAGAGTTCCAATGCAGGACAAGAAGCCCACAAAGACCATGTTTTCCATGGAAACCTCAGTGCGTCTGAAACCCATGCACTGCTTCACCTTATGGAGAAGGTAACGGACGAAGGTGTTCATTCTCTCTCCCAGGCTCTGAAACATCACGAGAGTGAGAGGAATGCCGAGAACAGCATAGAACATGCAGAAGACCTTTCCTGCATCTGTTCCTGGTGCAGCGTGTCCATACCCTTAATAGAAAGAGGTTGGGGTGCAGAAGAAGGTGTTGAATCACATTGTAGCAAGGTAGGGGAAAAAGACATAAATGGTTGTTTTCAATCAAAATTAAGTTTGAAACATGGGATGTTAAAAATAGACATTGTTTCTTACAGAGAAGAAAGATCTACTTGAACCTACCTATGGTTGTTATGACCGTAATTGCAAAATAAAAGGAACCAGCAAATTTCCACTGCCTCCCGGCACGATGGGGCTCCGCTTGAAGCACCACTCTCTCGATTTCGCGGTAATCATCCTCGGAGAAGCGGTACTTCCTCTTCATCTCGCTGCGCTTCTGCTCCAAGATGCGCCTGCGGGAGTTTTCCGTCTCGGACTCCAGTGCGTCAAACACCGCGGCGCCGACCAGCAGATAAGAGAACATGCAGAGGATGAGTGAGAGGGTCCGCACGTTCTGCTTCTTCATCCTCGGTGTCGGCATGAGGAGCACGAGTTGCCACGGAGGTTAAAGAAGTGTGAGGCTGCAGTTACAGGTGGTGCGGCTTTTCAGCGGTCAGACACCACATTGTTGCTACAGCCTGTTGCGTTCAACTAGGGCAGCGGGGGTGAAAAAATTAAGCCGGAAATTGTTTTTTAAAGAGCATTCAGCAAACGATTTAAAATGCGTACGTAGTCTACCTGCTTTATATGTGGCCATCTGCCTAAACAAGTGGTCCCGCATTACTTCATCGCATGCGCAAAGAAATCAGCACCCAGCGTTCTGTTGTTGTGTGTTAAGACAGGGTTCAGCACCACGGACAGCAACTGGATGCTTTGGAAGTATGGAGTACCACAATGCGTTGTTGTTTTTAATAATAATAATAATGATAATAATAATAATAACAATTATGATTATGATAATAATCATAATAATAACAATAATTGTTATTATTATTATGATTAGTATCTTATGTTTAAATTGATTGCTACAAGGTCATCACAGGAAGATAAGTTATTGAAACAAACAGGCAATGTAATATATAGATAGGTACTTAAACTAACAATAATGCCACTGCTTAAAATGACAGTAAGTTGTTATGCTAAAGTGGCTAATTGAGTAATATATGCAAGAATGAAGTTAAACAAAATTAAATAAAACGAAAAGAAAATGTAAAATTTAATAATGCAAAGGTTTTTTTATTGGTGAAGCAACATTGACTAGGAAGAACATTGTCAAATGAATCAATGTTCAATGATAAACTCTTTATTTTTTTTTTGTTTGAGCAGCAGGAACCTTCAAATAAGTTATTTCTCAGTAGTAACTGTGAGGTCAGAGGGTGGCTGCAAGGGGCCATTTTCCAAGCCGATAAATATACATATTTTTGAGTTTTTGATTTCAGGGATTATAAAAAGAAAGATTAATCTCTTAAATTATAGCTTACATTAATAAGACTGCTTATCAGAAAAAGCGTCGACCCTGTCAGAAACCTAAATAGAAAATATGGTTAAGTTGAACTCCAGGGGGGCCGGTTTCATGAAGCACGTTTACTAAAAAGTTGTCTAAACCTTAAAACAGGTTAAATGACTTTTCCGGTTCACAAAGAGAGTATCCTCAACCTTTGTTTCAGTCACCATTCTCCACAGAGCTCACCTGGTCAGTAGCAGGTTTTCTTCAGTAAACTCAGAGTATCCTCTGTCTCCTCTCTTCTACTGCCAATCACTCTGTTTTATTTCCTGATTTAGTCAGATTTTTGTCATAGTTTTGTGCAAAAAAAATCAATATCATTCACTAGGTCCGCTAGACACATTAGGTTTTAAAAACAAACATTGCATGTCCATTTGACCAGGATATTATTAAGCAATGATCAGCACTTTTTCACAGAGAATTAAATATTTATAGGGAGAGGATTTTACAACTCAGTTGACAGCGCACAAGGTTGCTTGTTTTTTGTTTGTTTAATATGAGCGATATGCAGATTTTATTTTTATTTTGTTATATTTACACTACATGAAGAACTGCTGAAATTATTTTCAGATTACAAGTAAATAGATTCATTAATTTGCCATCTTCCTCATTTTTGTTGCTGTAGTGCTGTTTATCTGTCTTTTAAACACATTCTCCTGTTTTATTTTATTTTATTTTTTTTTTGCATTTCTACATTAAAATCTCTAGTTCCAATGGGGTGAAATAGGCACTTCCTGTTGCCTGTTGTCATAGTGACTTGTCAAATCGGCGTTCCACTGATAATGGCTTTTCATACTTGTTGCGCACCCGCTTAACTCTGAGTGAACCTATTTAAAATTGATTGAACTAATTGATTGCAGCCGTTTTGAAACCAAACACTCAGAGCTCCCGACTTTAGGCTAGATCAATTTAGACTTGCAGATTTGAATTTGAATGTGTTACACCTGCTTCATGTAACGGACCCCCGGCAACTAGTTTAAAACCAGTCAATGGCAGCTTGGAAGGATTGTATCTTAAACCTCTTATAAAAAATTTTATAATCTAAAATGCTCAATTATTTTAAGGAGTCTTTGTAAACAAACTAATAATTGGCATCCAGGGCTTTATAGAACCAAATGGCTACATCTATATTTCTATGTAAGTTTTAAATACATTATTTTTAGAAAAACATAAGAATTTGACTGATTTGATAAATGTATGGGTTTTTCTGCAATGACTTTGAATCTCCTCCTTGTGCATGTATGGAATGGGGTAATCTGGCTTTCTCCTAGAGTCCTAAAACTGCAGGTTTAATTGTTTAATTGTTTACTACTTCATGCTTTGGAATGTGTATGAGCAAGTATAGCTGACTGGTAATATGTTCAGGGTTACACCCCTAGCTCAGTGACCTGATAACCACAACCGTGCAAGCATAAGCAGGTCTAGACAATGAATTTACTGTCAGGACTTGTTTCAGATCAATTTTAAATAAACATTTATTAGTAATTCGGTATTATTGCGCTCTGGTACTTGAGAACCTCTTTGCAGGTGTATAAACAAAATGTAAAACCAGTTTAAAACCAATTTGACAACTCAGATTTATGGAGCCAAATATTTTACAGGTTTAAATGCTTTTAAAGCTTCAGAATAGTATGTTTTTTTACTGATGATAAATAAGATAATTACTGCCACTTGTACATACAAATGGCTACACTGCACATTTTTCTTCAGAGTGATTTTAAGGAAATGACTATCCCACATTGTACTGTACCGTTTTATATAACAATTTAAGCATGTGGATTAAAATATCATGAGATATATATTAAAAGGTTTCTGAACTTCCTAAAATGGATTAGAGCAGTTGGATGATTTCTTTCTGAGCTGGCACAACATGTACAGTGTGACTGAAAAAAAGAACTAGTTGGCTAGATGCTCCTTGACTGTAGCTGATGCTGGTTACCATGGTGACTGTACTTGCATCTGAGCAGCAGACTTTGGCCATCAGTTAGGATAGAGCTAATAGAAACGTAATGACAATGGCTCTTGGCTGGTAAATGATATTGTCAGAAAGAAAGAAAGAAAGAAAGAAAGAAAGAAAGAAAGAAAGAAAAAGAGCAGCTCTATCTGAATTATGCAGGTGGATAATCACGTGCTCTTTTGTTCCCACTGAGCAGAGCATCCTGCTCTCTGTGCTCCTGTTTTTGTCTTAAGTGGCTAAATCAGCACACTTATGTTCTTGTTTGGATTCAACCAGCTCTCCATAAATCAATTATATCTCAGCTGATAAGAGAAAAACCTGATGCCCCAAAGCCACCAATCAATCCAGACGGCTTTGAGTCACATCCTCTCCTCAGCAGACAGACACAGGAGAAAGTAAGGGAGGCTACATTGACTCAAAGAGATAGATGCTTCAGTTAATTAGCTCTGCTATCTCTGTTCTCATAAAAGTACATTGCATCAAGATACTAGCATGCACACACACATATGCACACACACTACATTAATCACAGTCGAATCATGAAAGTTTACATACAAAGATCACCTGCATGAATTGTATCTTTTGGCTCTCAGCGATGGAAGTAAGATCACAAATAAGCTTAGATTGGAGGAAAGCAAACCATCACACAGTTTTTATTTTTCTGTCTTTGAGGGTTGTGGGTGGGGGGTGTAGCCATGCCAATGTTAATTGACTACATATTTTTCCAGCTAAAACAATATTTACAATAATGTTAACATTTAAGATCACATTAACAACCTTAATGTGAATTGCAGAACATTATAAAAATCCTAATTTTCAAAAACAACTATAAAGTTGCAAATTATTGATCCAGTGGACATGATGAATTTTCCTGAAGACATTTGTGAGTCAGATAAAACCTGTCTGCCTGGCTTACAAAAGACAGATATTATCCAGTGTATAAAACATTTTAAAGAAATTAGATGTATAATAAAACAAAAATAGATTACATGTGGTGTCAAAGTAAATCTCTGGATGTCCTGATGGACAAAACTGTTGTCACTTTAGACCATTAAACTCAATGAGAATCTCAAGAGACAAACTTGTGAATGGTTATCTTTTCAGCACAAGGACCGTAGAGAGATAATGATGTTCTGGCCGCCTCTGATTAAAGAGTGGGAAGATTTTGGACACCCGATAAGACTTTTTGGAGCAGAAATCTCATTATAAACTTCTCAAAATCTAATTTGGTTTCACTGACAAACTCATTTGGCCAGGAAGCTTACCAGTGATTGGGAGAGAAGATGCTGCAAATCTGCCCTATGCATTTTCAGTTTGTAATTTCTATCTTGTTCAGTTAAATAGGTTATGTGGAATTTACAGAGTTGCAGCTTACATTTACAGCCTTACAAAAATTTGAAAAACTTTTGTATTTTTTTATTTATCACATATGATATTATCAATTCTATGGTGTTTTATGTAATAGAACAAAACAAAGTATTACATGTTAAAAGGGAGGGGAGTAAATAACCTCCAGTTATTACGAATGAAAATCTTGAAAATACATATACCTTTCCTGACTGAGTATCTTTGACACAGGTACAGTTATCAATTCTATTATTCTTTGTCTCTACCAGCTTGACACATCTAAATAAAAATGTGTTTCCCTCATTTCTTCTTTGCAAAACAACTCAAAGTCTGTGAGACTGAATGGATAGCACCATTGATCCAATCATTCTCTCTTGGGTCACATGTACTAGCAGGTCTGTGTGGTAGCTGGTGGCTATCTACTGTAGTTCAGGGGTGGGCAACTCCAGTCCTTGAGGACCAGTTTCGTGCAACATTTAGATTCATCCTTTGTCCAACACATCTGAATCAAATGGTTGAAATACCTCCCCAGTATGCAATCAATTCCTCCAGAGTCCTTTTAATTATCGATTTACTCTATTCAGGTGTGTTAAATCAAGGACATATCTAAAAGTTCCAGGATACAGGCCCTCCAGGACTGGAGTTGCCCACCCCTGGTCTAGTTCATGGGGTTCACGGGCAGTCAGTCACAGGGGAACACCAAGGCCCATGAGGTAAAACAACTAACTTAAAGTATTTTTAGAGAGACAAACATGTATATTTTTAGACAATGATATATAGCAGGTTTATTTGACAGGAATCTATGAATTAATGAGGACAGCATGCAATCCTTACAGAAAGACCAAAGGCCAGAAGTTAAAAACAGGACCTTCTTATCACAGTACAACGGGGATAGCAACAGCACTAGAAGGTGCATGAAGGGGTGTGCTTTGTAATAAAAAATTATTATTATCTCAGAAATATTGTGCTTTTTAAAGTTTTATTTTTAAAAGAAGGTTTTAGTCATAAAATACGTTTTTCTTTCCTCAAGACAGACAGACAGATAGACAGAGGAAATATATACATATACACACATATATATATATACATAATTGTGTGTGCAAGCATGTTATGCTCTCTATGTCCACTTTAGCTGATCAGGTTTTCTCAAACGTGTTGATTTCACACAGATAAGGCTGGTTGTTATTTTTCTGAAGCAGAGGCACAAAATAACAACAGAAAACATTTGGATGCCTGCAGAGCCCTGTGGTTACCACAGTAACGATGAACAAAAATAGTAACTCACACCAGCATCTTTTCAACACTGAATCCCCCAGTGATGGCGCATGCTACTATTTATACCCTGTAATCATCAAATAAGCCTGTGTGTAGATGTATCAGTCCAATTACTGTCAAAAGATGTTACCACCTCTGATTCCCCTGTTTCTGCTGCTGGTTCATCGAGGACCAAACCAAACCTCAGTCTCTTTTGGAGAATACTATGTGAAGGATACTAACAGATAGGACTTTAGACTTAAAGAAAAATCATGTTTATGTGGGGATCATTGTTTCAATTATCACAGAAGGTACGGACACTTTCAGGTTTTACAGTGCTGACATTTTAACACAAAAAATAGGTCATATTTTCTTTTACATATTCTTTGAAGAATTACCGTTACTCAAAGTTCCCACATGCACACAGAGATTTTCAGAATTCAGCAAAAATCCACGCTAAGGCCTATTTATTTCCATATTTCATAATTGCTTTCACTTCTGTAGAAAACAAAAACCAAGAAGACTAATAAACCAATTACTCTAGCAGCCATCAGACTGCATGAGTTTTAGGGATTGACAAGCACTTTCAAATATGACACGGGTGATCGGACACTTAGTTCTATTAAATTAAATAGGAGATTATCATAATTCAAACTTGAAAAAGTACACCATTTAAATCAAAGGATGTGGCTGAAGGAGAGAAGAGAAGAGAAGAGAATGCTTATTTAGGCAGACGCTATGTTAATGCAGAGTGTTTTCAGTTCCAGAAGTGGTTGACAAATACAGATTATTCCAACTCCAAGAGATGGTCAAACAAAAACTTCAAAGAGCCTTTAAATCCATCCATCTCATCATTTTGTAGTTAAAATGTAAAGAAATAATGCAATTTTATTTTCTTTTTATTAAAAATAAAAATAAAAGACTTACTAACAGACTTATACACCCTGTGTTAAGAAGGAGCGCTAGCGCAGACCTTTCATTCCTGCTGCCATCAGACTTTACAATGACGCTGCACTAGAAGTTGGTGTAATAACACTGCAATTATATATATATATATATATACTTATACTATTTAACAACCCAGAAACCGCACTTTACCATCACTTTATTGTATATAAGATACTGTATATATAAGTCACCTTATATCTCTTTTTTATTTTTACCACTCACAGGATATATCTGGATGCACTGTCTATACTTCATGCACTTTTTCCTTCCTTGTGCACCTCCTGTTTGCTTATAAGAGCCGATATCACAGGTGAATTTCTCCATTGTGAGATCAATAAACTTCTATTCTATTTTATTCTATAATGTGTGCTAAACTTTACCGAAAAAAACACTAGAAAACAGCTCATGTTTAATTGTAAACGCCTATGTTTGGGAGGTTAAATATGAAAAATATCTTCCTGGTCAAAAGCAGAGATATTTTTGTGCAGCTATTTAATGTGACGGCTGAGCCTGCTTGTTTGAACTTTCTTGGCTTTATGTTAGAAACGGTGAGGCAGATATCACTGTCAACTCTGAGGAGTCTTGATCTGTATTAGTTTTTCATGTATTTCAGTGCAGAAAAAGGCTTTTTGCACAGATATACAGATGGAAACAGAAACAATACATCAGTTGCAACTTTTGACAGTGTTGCATACGCTCTGTAAGCAGGCTCCTAAGGTGAAAGTCAATAATTCATTTCATAGTTTGAATTGTTATGTTGAAATTCTACATAAAGTCTTTCAGCTCTGGGAGCATTTCAACACTTCCCCCATCAACTCACACAGCCCACCGCGTCAGCTTTCTCTTAAATCCTGTGACCTTAGTAAACAGATTCTGTGCTGTTTTCATTAATAAAATGCCTTTTTGAGACCAACCATGCCTGGTCAGAAGCTCAATTATTTTGCACATTTATATTTTTCCAAAAGGATTTGGCAATCCCCAGAAATCAGATAGGAGATACACACAGCGGTAAAATGAGATTAAAATAAGAAAACTAATGTGAGCAGAAAATTAAATAAATCAAGATGAGTGAAACTTAAAGCAAATATCTAACAATAAATAAATATTATCGTCAAATAAAAATGGTGTTTATCCAGTTATCTTCTGCCATTTATCCATCAGGGTCATGGGGGGCTAGGACTTATTTCAAGCTATTTGAGTGAAAGATGAGGTAGACTCTGAACAGGTCACCAATCCTTGTTGAAGCAGTGCACCACGCCTTCATGAGCTTTTGCAATTGACAGATTAATTCTGCTTCAGACTACACATCCACCACCTAACACTCAGAAAATTTTAAATATGACATCCCAAAGCTTTGGATTCAATTCAGTTTATTTATATAGTGGCAATTAACAACACATGTGATCTAAGGCACATTACAATTCAACCAGATCATACAGTCAGAGTGGTTCAAAGTTTTCTATCTAAGGAAAACCAGTTGATTGTATCGACTCTTTGACTCGACAGCAATCCCTCACCCAGGCTCGGACTGGTAATCTGTGGGCCACTCCTAATTTCAGCGTGTGAGGGCCGGCCCTCCTAAAATCATACCTGCAACAACACTTACTTTCTGGCCGAAGCACCTACCTGCCTGTGACAGTAAATAAGTCAAGTAGCTCAAGACGGAATACAATGTTGAATATCTAAGTGATGCAAGCAGTTTATATAGCCCTTCTTTGTCATGCACATCAGTGTGATGGTTGGCATATGGTGTAATTTTCTATTTCTTCAAACTGTAAAATCCTTGCAAAAAACTAAATTATAATGACACTGAAATGCTTTCATTAAACCAAACTACGATGTTCCTCTTATATTTGGCGAATTTATGCTCAAATATTTTGCAAAAATATGTTGCGGTGAATGATGGGGTTTTGCATCTGTTCACATTATTCCATTTCATTGCCCACATGCCACCAACAGTGGGCCGTTGTAGATGGAAAAATGCCAAAGCCGAAAATTCCCAGTCCGAGCCTGCCCTCACCCAAAGCATGCTTATAGCGACAGTGGAGAGGAAAAACTCACTTTTAACAGGAAGAAGCCTCCAGAAGAATCAGGCTCGGTGTGAGCGGCCATCTGCCGAGGCCGACCGGAGTTCAAGAAGACAGAAGCAGACATAGAGAAAGAAGCAGATATATAAAAAGCAGCTGTCAACAAATTCCACAGATGGACCAATCCCGAGAAGTTAGTACCATCAGAGAAACAGGACTACACTGAAAAACAGGCCAAGCTCCAACATCCACAAACAAAGATGTTGATGGCAGCAGTACAGCTAGTAGTTCTCTACAGGATGGCGTCACAGCCAAACAGGAACAGACCAGATGAAGCTCCTGTGAGAAAAAGCAGAGAAAGCATAGCATTAAAGATTAAGCTAAAAAAAAATACAGCAGGATGAGAGAATATTGAATAAAGCAAAATGATGTAAAGTGATCCCTATGTCCTCCAGCACTGTAAGCCTTTTATGGCGTTTAACATACTTTTCAGGAGCCTGATATTTCTAACTTATATCTTTTGGATTTTAACATCTATAAGGATAAATCTTCAGGATTACAAGAAAGGCATGAAAAAATCACTCTATATGTAATGAATCTACAGTGTATACAATATGAGTTTGATTTTCTGAAATTAGATAATATTTAAACTTTTTTACAATATTAATATAGTTTTATATCTACATGTGTGTCTGGGTTTTGACAAGACCAGTCCACTGATAAGTGAATAGTGTTTTTCATGAATCTCTGTCATAGATGGCTCTGTATAAAAGGAACACGTGGTAGGATTGATGAAAACAAACGCCTGTCTGTCTCTCTGCATGTCTGTCTGTCTGTCTGTCTGTCTGTCTGTCTGTCTGTCTGTCTGTCTGTCTGTCTGTCTGTCTGTCTGTCTGTCTGTCTGTCTGTCTGTCTGTCTGTCTATCTATCTATCTATCTATCTATCTTGTTTCGTTAAGAACTGATTGTTCTGTTTAACTTTTGCATGTTTTTTTATAGTTATTATTCACCTGACCTGTATATATTTGTTGTGCTATTGCACAATTTTCATATGAAAAAAGTTATTTTCTTCTGTACTTAAAATAACCTGTCTGACTCAGCTGGTTTGCAGTTTAACTCTTATAGCATTCGTGTTGCCTTCAAATAGAATTGTAAATTTTCCCACACCAGAATAGGAAATTGTACCTTTTTCATAGCAGTGGGAAAAATAAATTATTGTGCCAAATGGAGCCGCATTTAAGTATTTTAAAAACAGTTACTTTTTTCGCCAATACAATAAAGAGTACCCTATTTTGTCCTACTCGATTTCGTTTGTGAAATATTATTTCCCCGTGACATTTCCTACTTTAGCGGAAGTAAGTGAAGGCAGCGTCATCACTGCAGCCGTTATACGATGGTAGGCTGGAGAGAAGGATGGTCAGGGCCGCCCCCCGCCTCTAACCCCAACATGAAAGTGGAACTGATTCAACACCGGTTATAGAACCGAGCCAGGCGACGTTTTTATTTATCTGTTGTTACTCTTGAAGATTCCCAAAAACAACAATGGAGGACGACTATGTGTGTGAGTACGACTCTACATGGGACACAGAGAGTGATGGAGACGACCCAGCCGGAGAGAGCCAGAGCCGACGGTCTACTCAAGACAAAAACAAGTCATCCTGGGCTATAGTAGGTGGTTTCATTACCAAAAAACTCGACCTTAACTCACTAAATCGCTATTTGGTATCTTTCATTTCGGTGTAGAACCCCGCTGCTGGTGGGAAAGCTAATGTTAGCTTTGTCTCCACTGCTGCAACCTCGCTAACTAGCTTAGCTAACCATTGTATCGTCCTTTCTAAATATTAGGCGTAGGTTTTATTATCTCAACTTCCGTTTTAGATTTAAAATATATATATTACTCTGCTATTTTAAGTTTTAGAGAATGTTTTAGTTTTTTACGTACAGGTATTGATGATATAGAAATTAGCAATAACTAGATGCAGACTGGTTTTCTTTTTTTTTAATACAGTGGCAGCCCACCCCAAGAAATATGAGGGCAGCAAAAGACATGCAGAACTACAGAAGAGGATATCCTGTAAGTAATACGTATGAAATAAAAGACAACCATCTCAGTTATAGAACAAATGAATAAAATATCAATGTTTCCAGAATCTAACAGATGATGATTGCTCAGAGGACAAAATGAACAACCTCCAATTCTATCTGAATAAGTTTCCTTCTGCTCCTGATGGTAACACGTCTCTTTTTTTAAATATTGGTTAATGTAGTGTTTATGTTCTGTTCTAATTGTGTTTTTATTTGTTTATCTTTAAAGATGTTTATATTGAGTCATTTCTTAAGGATTGGAAAAATGACTACAAAAAGCTGGAGAGGGTTCACTCTTACATCCAATGGTATGTATCATGCAAATGTATTGGTGTCAAAGTCTTCACCTATATATTGACCTGTACCTAAAAGTATAATCGCCAAAACCGCTTACGTGGAATATTATGGAGGACTTTATTTTTGATAGGAAAACAGATGACTCCAATAGAATAGAATAGATTCCACTGCCCTTGATGTCACGACTGATCTATATCTTAAGCTGTGTTATTGCTGACATGAAAATGGTGTAAACCCAAACTTTCTTGCTCATGCATGCCTTGATCAGATTGTTTTTACTGACTAACACCATAATTTATATGTACTATTTAGATGCAGTTGTTGGCTTCTTTAACATGAAGGTTATGAACAAAAATTTGGACAGTATAAAATACAACGACTCACATTAACCTGAGAAATTAAATGTATATAATGATATGTGTAACAACCATATTTACTGCTATAAACATGAAGTTTTTTATGTTATATTTCAGGACCGTAGACGCAGTTGCATTGAAATTGTATTTGAATAACCAATAAATAATTCATAGGAAAAAAATGTAGAATTGAGCAAAAATAATGTAATTATGTAGTGCTTGTACTACAGAGGCCATGGGGATGAGTTGATTAAAAACAAAGGAGTGAAAAAAAACATGCGGTTTTTTCCTTTTTGCAGCATTCAGCAGTAATTTTGCTATTTTAATCTTTCCTAATACTAAACAACTTTAGAATATATTCACATTATTTAACCAAGATCTGGTGTTCTGAGGCAATTCAAACATTCAATGGGTTACCTGTTAAGAGCTGAATGCCAGGCTGCTTGTTTGAGTCCAGCTGTCTTCCATAGGACGTTATTCTGGGATTATCATTTTTCATTTGGAAGTTGCACCTTTTGTACATGCATTTTCTAACCACTGCTTGTTACAAAAAAAATACACCAGTGTTGGAAAAAGAAGGTTTTGAAAACCCATTTTATATATTTTGCAAAAATAAGGGACATCTTTATCAATATTGAAAGCATAACTTAATCACAAGAATAATACATCTGTCTGATGCTGTCATATTTATGATGGCAGCTCTCGGCTCACCCAGCCCTACAGGTTTTAACTCTTTCCCTGCTTCAACATATTCACTTAAATTTGAATGATAAGCATCAGAAATGGAGTTTAAACCATTAGATCATTTTATTTTAATCATGTGTTGGAACAGGGAAACATATAATATATACTACCCAGAAGATAAAAGATTGAAAAAACCTGCTAGATACTTTTAGAGGGGAACAACACGGGAACAAACAATTTTAATGCTAATTACTCTTAGCAAGAGTAATTAGTAATGCTAATTACTCTTCTCATTTAAGATGTTTCTTTCATGTCAAAGTAAAACATATCCTGTACGTATAGTATCTGCTTTACACTAATTATATAGACGAAGGGCAAAACTTTATTACTTTAAAAAAAATTAAAGGAGCAGCCTGCTGTAGTATGCTGAAGCTCATCACTGCAAAATTTCATATTGAGACATTGCTTTATGGTTACCATTAAAAGCAATTGGAAGTTGGTTTATTAAGTTTTAGAATTTTGTCTTTAGGTTAATGAATAAAAGACTTTATCCAAAAAGATGAGAAGTACTTGGCCTTACTAAAAAAATAAAAAAATAAATCTAACTTAAGATTCTGCATGAAATATGACTAAGTGTTAGGGCCAGACTTAAAAAATAAAAAATGAGAATGGGTTAAAGTTGTAAGATTACAACTTTATTTTTGTAATATTAAGGTAATAAAGGTGCAATGTTATGAGAATATGATAGTATAATTTCTTCAGATTGTTATTCCTTTCAGAAAAGAGTCTTTGTTAAATATCTAACCAGCACCTCCAAACTACCAACCAACCATCTGAGCTCCGTTTCTAAATAAAATAATAATTTGATGCTGATGGGCTAAAAGGTTGAATATTTACTTCTTTATAAAACCAATATAAAGTGTAACTTCACAGGATTATCATCAGTCCTCATTTTAATGCAAGGAATGACAGAGCAAGAGTTCTCATTCAATTATATTGACTTTATTCTTGTAATATTACGACTTTAAACCTCAAAGTGTTACAAATTTAATAAGCTGTAATTTCATTTATTCAGCTTTAATTTAATCCTAATATCAGAAGTTAATCTTGTTACATTACGACTTAAATCTCAAAATATCATGAGTTATTCTCTTAATATTTTGACCTTATTCTCGTAATATTATGACTTTATAATGTTATTTCTTCTTATAATTTTACTACTTTATTTTCATAATATTACAGCCTATTAAAACAAAATTGTCTTTAGTCTGGCCCTAATACTCTGTGATACTGAAGTGAATCCCTGTTTACTTATATTTTTAGTGAAATAATCACCATTGCTAGATTTTAACTCTGCCAGAAAATGACTCATTTGTAATATCTTTTTACTTATTATTGCAGTATTGGTACGTCACAATATTTCTGAATCAAAGTGAAATTATGTCTTGCCAAGCACAGTAGTTGCTCTCAGTATTTGGCTTTATCTGGTTAAGTGTAAGCTATTATTAGCTGCCCCTGTTAAAAAGGTGGCTGGATTTTCTGCTTGTCCTTTTCCTTTAACTTGCTGTGTTGGAGTTGACTTCTGAAGAACGCTTGTTGAACCATCCAACTACACTGATATAAACGTGGTCAAGAATATCAACTATTTATGAAATGCTTGCCTGGCAGCCTGGGTGGGTAAAAAATCTGTTCCAGAATTACTGACAACATGTAAATGTTCTGCAAACACTGAAAATGAAGACTGGCTGATAACTGCTAATGGTGTAAAAATCTGCATTTTTAGCTTCCATTTGGCACTGAATGGGCTATTTTTAGAAATTAGAGAATTATATTATATGAATATGGACTGGTCTTACCCATATTGGAATATTTTACTCAGTTTACAATTATTTTTTTGTTGTTGCTCTTTTTAAGCACAGGATATGGTTTCTCATAGAGCAGTGGTTCCCAAGCCTCGTCCTCAGGGACCTAAAACATGGTGGATGGGGATCCCTGAGGAACATTGTTGGGAACCGCTGCTATAGAGTATTCCTAAAATCTGATCTGCTTTTCATTTCTCATGAATTCAGTCATTTGATATGATATTGTTAAATTCAAAATAATATAAATTATAGACGCAAAAAAAAAGAAGCAAAACAATAAAGACAACAGCAATGCTCAAAACAAAAATACAGTAACCTGCAGCATGTCTATATACCCAAAGCTGTTTGGAAGAACTGTAAACTCAGTGTTACCCACCCCTTATTCAAGAATAACATTTTTTCAATTACTTAGGAATCTTACCTTAATCCTTACTTTTATAGTTTACCTGTAAAATAAAAGATGAAATAAATTATATGCATAAAAACATGCTTTTTTATTGTTGTATGGTATGATATATATATCATACAAGTTGGCATCAGTGATTTATTTGATGAGTAGCAATGAATGATGTTGATGGTAATTAATAATGTCTTATTACCGTAATAATAAAGGCAGCACATCTAGTATATTTTGTTTTATGCTAAAAGGTTTTAGGGTCATTTTTGTTTGTTTGTTTGGCTTTTATCTCTACTGCATTGTTCTTTCCTTTTTGGGAAAAAAGCATTAGGATGTTAACTTTATGATGATCACCCTATACCATATTCATTGACTTAGAGGGCTGTTTAATTTAATAATAATTTGTTTTCTGTTTTTTCCTTTTTTTAAATCTGCCTTTACAAGGTTGTTTCCACTGCGAGAACCAGGAGTTAATTATATGGCTTCAGAACTCACCAAGAAGGAAATTGAGGTACGTTTTTATTACTGAAGTAGGTCTTTAAACAGTTTTTTTTTGCGCAAAAACTTCTTGTTGAAAAATTGTCCCAGCAAAAAAAGAGTGTTTTGTTTACCAAAAATCATTTGGTTGTTTTATAATTTTGTGTCCATTCCTCAAAATTTGACTGAAGTTTTTAGACTGCTGATAAACTATAAATAGCTGCAGAATGTGCTGATGACATCAACTTAATATAGATTTGCATGGTTTTACCATTTAATCACAGGTTCTACAGGCTGTAGAGTATACAGCTATTTGTTGTCATGTTAGTAATAAGTCTGTGAGCGACATTCATTCCACTTCTGCACTTTCAACTTTTGTAAAAGAAAAAGTAAAGTTGTTTTTTTTTTTCCAGCGGCTCAATTTTGATGTGCAATTTATTTTTAAGTAACTTGTTTTAGAGATTTAAGTATTTATTCTATGTGTTTTATTTATCTCTCAGGGCTGTACTGGTCCAAATGTAATTTAGATTTTTAAATGTTCAACATTTTCAAACACAGGACTTTTAAGCTCAAAGAGCAAAACAGCAGCTCTATCTCTTCTTCCAGTTACATCTGCACTAAAGGCTGATATTTCCCATATTTACTGATTTTAAAAAAAAAATGTGGAGCTCTGCAAAATGAAGGTCTGTTGTTACCTGTGCATTGATGACAATGATTTGAATTAAAGCACTGGTAATAAAGGATTTGACAATCTATGGTTTTATATAACACCTTCTAGTCTACCAACTAGACTTGATGGTTTGATTTTAAACCAAGAGATAACCAAAACTGAGGAAAGGATAGATTTAAAAGTAAAATCAAACAAGTGTGCTCTGAGCTGGTGTGGAGGCGTAGGGTAGCTGAAGCCTGCACTCTTAACAGTCCTGTTCTAGGAATATCTCATCTAATAAAACTGTTCTCATGGGTCCTTTTCTCCCTGCTGTTATGTGACATAACCAGATTAACCTAGCTTGTTATTTTCTCTTTATGTTGGATATATTTATGCCTCATGTTAGTTTAAATGATGCTGTCCAAAAAAAAGTTAAGGAATACTTTTTAATCGGAGAATAACATCACGTCAGTTAAACCTCTAGAAAACTAATCTGATCGGTTAAGTGGTGCAGTGGGTTTTATTTAGTGTAAGTTGTTCTGGAGACTGTTAGCTTAAAAGGAGAAAACCTGCATGTGTCTCTTTGCTGCCATGCTGCTGCATTTGTCTTGCATAAACTGCATACCTAGTGTTTCTGTCCAATTTTGGTGTGATTTTTGTGGTATTGTCACACCAAAGGGCTAGTTTTACTGATTTTATTATTTTCATTCTAAGCCAAGCAGAAAAATAACTCTGAGGCTAATACCAGATAAGAAAAAGCCTTAAATCATGAACAAGGGGTGTCCATTTGTTCACATGACATTGGTATGTGTTACCAGCCTGGGTATTATCTGATAGAGGCTGTGTCAGTAGTTATATATGTGGGCTTTGGCTTCAAATTAGCACAGTTAAAGACATTCATTCCATCACTAAACAAGTCCTATGTAGAACACATGTGTCAGATATTGTGCATCTATAAATCCAGGCTTACACTGTGCAATTTCTTTTTTTTTTTGCCCTTTTCAGTTTTTTGACTTTCCAGTCGTGCGAGAATTTTACAATTTCCAACCCGACTTTCAGCCTGATCGTGCGTGGTGTAGTGAACAGGGGGTAACGAGGGGCGATCAGCTTCCCACGACCACCTCCCGATCAGGAAACCTGAGGTCCGTCGTGGGCAAATCTCTCAGTGGGCATACGCAAACGAGGATTCTTCTGTTTCTTCTTCCTCTCAGATGTAAACAAAGAAGCATGGCGGGGGTGCAATGAGTGAAATGAGGTTTTGTCTGTAAAATTGACAGACCGTAGTAACCATGTTTGCTCAGCCATATCTTTGTCTAAATATGTCGTTGCCTTTTCTTTTTAGGGCTTTCAGCACAAAATTGCACAAATTGCCAAGGCAGAGCGGTTCACTATAGTGACCTATTCATTTGGATAGACGAGTCAGAGTAGCTCCATCTCACTGTGGAGCTGAGTCCGACGTGGTTTTTAGACGTACAGTGTGAGCAGGTAGATCGCATCAGTGCTTTGTGCTGCAAATATATCGTGAGCTGTGAACTTGCACTGTATGACGAAACCCTGCGGTTTGGTCGTACAGTGTAAGCTGCAGCTGCGTGCAATAAATTTTAAAAATCGCACAGTGTATGCCCGGCTTAAGCTGTATAGTATCTTTCCATTATGTATTTTCATGAAAAAGAGATCCAAGAGAAACGGCCGTTCAGCCACACTGGTAAAACTGAGACCACTGCCTTATGCTATGTTCAGACCGCAAGCAGCAGAAGCAGGTAGATTACATGCACAGTCAACGCTTAACTCGCATCAAGGTGCAGCAAAGGGTCCTGCAGTGTGTTTAGAGCAGCGCCTCACGAGCTTCTGAATACCTGACGCGACCGGGCCAGAGGCTGCTGTTGAAGGGGATTCCTAGAGACAAGGCACCGCCGCTGTACGGGGATCTGAGCGGCTCTGACGGCGAAATAATATCTGAAGGCAGGATCATAATCTGGATGAACTGACTGCATAGATGAAGTTTTTCAGGTGGACTTTCTAACTTAAAAACATATTAACACTGCATTTACCTGATCACAGAAAATGTAGCTGCCATCATTACAGGCAAAGAAAGGATATTGTAGCTCCACCCAACGCCCATCAGACCCACTTTTCGATCTTGCAGTCAGAGCAGTGAAGATGCTTCAGCCACGCGGCAGACCTGAACCTATACACATGAAACATGAAGCAGCACGCAAGTTTTTGCTGCTTCTGCTGCGTGGGGTCTGAACGTAGCATTACAGAAGAGAACTACTGGTCCAAGTGGAAATGAACCAATCAAACTTCATTTACCAGATTGGCTCTTACTATTATCAATAATTATATTACAGACATGAAAAATATAAATGTCAGAAAAAACTTAGTATTGTTTTATACATTTTTGGAAGTTCTAGCTTCACCTCACAACCGTCAAACATTAAATAATTTGGTTTGATGGAAGACAAAACTGAAAGGACACTAGAGCTACTTTGTAATGTGTTTTCTTTTACATTTATATTTTTTCACATTTGTAATATTATTAAAAATAGTGAGACACGACCTGAATTAAGTTATTTTGCTTAACAGTTCCCTTTCCACTTTAAAAGTAAGAGAAGCTGACCTGGTAATTTACTGGGACTCATGTGAAAGGGACTTACAATCTATTAAAAATGATATGTGCCTATTTTAATTATCGACCTAAGTATTGTAAGTTTTAATAAGTCTTTTTATGCTTACTTAAGATTAATTTAAACAGTACAATTTTTTTCTTTAAAATTTATAAAAAGTTACTGTGTTTATTTTCATGTGGATTAGGACCTGTCAGCCTTGTAACAATATGAATCTTTCATATTAATTTGTGTTTGTTTTCTTATTTGAATACTTAGTATTATTCTGTTGGTAATACTAATATTCTACATTTATTCTGTATGTCAAAAAAGGCTTTCAAGAAAAATGAGGATGCCAAAAGGAGACTGGTGGAGGCTTACGAACTAATGTTGGGCTTTTATGGAATACGTTTAGTCAACAAAAACACCGGTGAAGTGAAGCGTGCAGAAAATTGGAAGGAACGTTTTGGAAACCTGGAGAGGTAAATACCGATTTCCGCCATTTTTCACATCCTTTTGGTTTTGTGAGTAGTAACAGCACCACCTGTCTGATCTGTTGCAGAAATATGCACAACAACCTGAGGATAACTCGCATCCTGAAAAGCCTCGGGGAGCTCGGCTTCGAGCACTACCAGGCTCCGCTTGTGCGCTTCTTTCTGGAAGAGACTCTGGTCAAGAAGACGCTGAGTAACGTTAAACGCAGCGTGCTCGACTACTTCCTGTTTGCCGTGCTAGACAAACATGAGCGGCAGGAGCTTGTGCGATTTGCTTACCTTCACTATGAGCCAAAAGACAAGTTTGTTTGGTGTCCCCGAAAAATCCAGAAACAGTTCAGAAAGGCTGCCAAAAACTCTGAAGTCGCTGGGAATGTAGACGGGAGGGATGAAACGTTTTTACACTGTAAAAGCAAAGACGGGGAAGCAGCGGCACAGCAGAAAGAAGATGAGATGAATAATATTACTAAGACTATTAAAGAATCTGAGAAAAACAAAGACAAAAGCAAACAGCCTGAAGAATCTTCCAAGCCACCAGCGGAAGATGGGGCTCTTGGAAATGGAAATCTGGATTCAGAGTCTAATATTGGAAATAACAGCAATGGAAATGAATCTCCAGATAATGATCAAGAGATGGAACAGTCCCCTTGTCAAGATGTTGACTCCAGAGAGCATGAAGTGACCACAGATGATGAGCAGAAATCCACAGGCAGCTCTAAGCTCACTGTTCAAGAATCGGACATTATGCAAACCAGTGCGGACAAAGAAGCTGAAAAACCTCCAAAGAAGAAGAGAGAAGATGACGAGTTCCCACAAATCAACAAACCTGCCGAAGACTCTGCTTCTGCTGCCAGCATGGAGGATAAAGCTGCTGTCGATAAAGCTGCAGGTCAAACAAGCCCATCAGTCCAAACTCCTCTTAAGACCTCAAAACACTCACCCTCTCCGTCTTCTGAAAGGGAGGAAAAGATCCCAAGGACTGATTTTATAATGACGGATAAAACAAACGAAGAAATGCTACAAGACAGTATGCCAGCATCAGATGGGATGCAGATCAGCAACGATGTAGAAGAAGAACGAAATGGGACAGAGTCGGAGGACTGTCACATGGATTCCACCCCCTCAGGCTCAGATCAAATTAAGGGAGCCTCATGAAGAAGTGGTGAAAGAAAGAAATTCATATAAACTAAGATTAAATGTACTATAAGGACAGAATATGACTTTGAGCATTTTCTAGGCCTTATTTTTACTATATTTAATGTTAAGATGCCATTCATTTGTTTTTACTTTAAATGAAATATGGGTCTTTAGCCAAAAGCAGCAATATGTTACTAGGATGCTATAGTTTAAGGTCTGTTTCTGACTTCAACATTTTCACAACAAAGACGTTAAGTTCTCTAATGCTGAGTTTTTCCGGCTGTAATGAAGAGAAGGGATTCAGTGGTTGTATATATTTAAACGTGCAGAACAAGAACATATTTTAAAATTACAAAGCATGAGCTAATGAGATTCATTGCTGATTTAGCGTTTTCTTTGACTGTAAACAATCTATACCAAACAAAGGATCAAATCTTCATTTACTCGACTGATATAGTCCAATGTTTTTTTTTTTTTTATGGTTAAAAAGTTCTAAAGTTCTGTTTCTTGGGGGGAAAAATGTTTTTGAAAATATAAGTATTTCATAAAAGTGTGTTCTTTACTGAACAGTATGTTTGCTTGATACACAGTCCACCTCTTTCATCTAAGGTGCTGCTTTAGTTCACCATTGCATGTGAATAAAAGAAGAAAATAGGTGTTGCTTGTCAACAAGTAAAGCTAATAGTTCAACAGTCTTGACAGCCATCAGAGAGTTAAAAGGTCTTTGCTAAATAAGCTGGCTGCCCAGGATGCTATGATGAAGCATATTTTGGGAAAATTGGGTGAAAGGGAAAAGTTTCACTGCCAACAGTGACATCTGAAGCTGGCCTGTTAGCGGGCTTTTAGCTAGCAATGCGTATGTAGAATGTACGCAATGTTTTTTTTGTTTTTTTTTTTCAAAAAAAAGTTGACTCAAATTTTACAAGCAGACGCTGGAGTTGGAAAATGTATTTTTTTCTGCTCAACGCACAACATCAAACAATCAGAGAAGCTGTTCTGTGAGCTGGCAGGGAGACCGACTCATGTAGAGACGCTATGTTCACTCCACTGCAGCATTTTATTAACGCTTAAATTAACCTAAAATGTCGGAACCTTCTGGTAAAATTTGTTCACTTTTATTACTCACGGGTTTGCAGTTGGAGCCACATACATGAAAAACGACAACCTCTACTTCCAACAACCACAGACAGTAGGGGAAAAATCCCAAGAGGCTAATAGGCCCAATGCAACTGTTGCTGGGAATTCCCAGTGGCAGCGCAGAGAAAAAATATTTTAAGAAGGATCTTGATCTTGATTAACTCATTTTTTTGAATGATGTTTTCAGGTGGACTTTGTCACATAAAAAAAAACAAATTTTTACCCACTTTTCACAGCGAATATAACAAAACCACTCTGCCATTGAAAACAGGCGCAGCAGACGCATCTGGAAACACTTTACTGGACGCGCATCAGGAGCATCAAAGATGCTCTAGAGGCGTTTCTGACCTTAATGTGTACAAGCATAAAAAATGAAGCAGCAGGCACTTTTTTTAATGCGAGGGGTGAACTGTGTGGTACTCTCTTTTCTACAGAAACAGAATTTTAGATTTTTTTTCAGGAGCTGAAAACCATAATCGTCCAGATAAATTTAAATAAACCATATAAAATATATTTTTTTATTTAACTAAATAAATTAACTTTGAAATTCTTTTCATTTAGAGGCAGTTCTATTAGTATAAAGGTCGTAATAAACTGCAGAAGTAATGAAATTTGGGTTGCAAAGATTTTTTTTTTTCTAATTTAATTTCACCATTTTTTGCACTGAGAAATACTCCTAATTTACTTTTTTTTCTCTATTTGGACTGTTTTCGTCTTTGTAAAACAATGTATTGTTTCCTAATCAAATGAAATAAGCTGCGTATTTCCGATGAAGCTGCACATGCTGTGATGCTGATTTAGGAGGTGGATTACTGAACTGTTGAGAACCTTGCCAAAAAAAAAAGTGATGAGACTGGTTGATTGTACTTTTCTATTTGTTTTGAATGAAATGATAAATGCTTTGGCTGCGACTCAAACTCTGTTTCTTTAAAATCGGTGCGTTCAATGAAAATGAAAGATCCAGTGTGATCGGCATCCTTTTTATAACTGCACTGATTTCCGCTATGACTTGTCGAATTTACTGCATTTTACCTGAACTGACCTTTCTAAGGATTTCCCAGTTACACACCTGGCTGTTATGAGAGCTGAATAAAAGTCATGCTATTTTCTGAAATGCATCTGTTGAACTAAATACCAGTTTTCAGAGTACATTGAGTCTCTCAAGAAATCTGCAGAACGTTTTATTGTTAAGTTGTTTTTTTCTGTTCAGGCATTGCTTTTATTTATCACATTGTGTATTATTAGCTAAATTTGGGGCTCCAGCCTGAATCAATGTTAGCCTATCAGGCCTTCATTGAGGAAGTAAGAAGGTAACCAAGAAAGGAAGCATAAAAGGACTGGGTCTGATCCACAAGTTGAAAAACATTTACGCTCTAGTTATCTTGCTTGAAGTATTTAGTAAATTCAGTAAGTTATTTTTTTGTAATCCATGTGGGTCTTTTGTGAGATTTTTTTTTTTTTTTTAAGAAATGTACTTAAACTACAGAAACCCTGAAAAATGCTCTTAGTTTACATCCCTTTGGGTACCATATTATTCATCCCAGCTATTTTCTTAAATGCCCTGCTGTAGACTGAATCATTATAACCTAATAGCTTTTAGTAATACTCTACAGATAGAAATCTGAATTGTAAGTTATCACATTTTATGCTGGTGGTCAATAACCAAATGGAAAGATTAGCTTAATAACATAGAAGAAAATAAATAGTTATCAACTAAAATTGTTTATATTTTTACTGTGTTAAAAGTAGTATATGATAGTGGGTTTTATACAGCTCCTGGAGTTCCCTGAAAAACATTTATCAAATTATATCAGTCAAAACTATAATATCAATCTACATCATCATCTGACATTACTGTGTCACAGTCTGAACAAGTGATCTTTTTTAATTAAAATTCCAGAGTTGGGACTTAAATGCAAATGATGTGTCATAGATGTATGAGGGCAACCTATGTGGTATTGGGAAGCATTGTAGGGTCATCCAAACAAATCGATTCAATAGTGTACCGTGATAAAGCGGGTGATTCATACCCTTATAACACATGCAAGTGTTTAAAGTAGGCTGGGGGGAAGGTTGCTGCAACAGTATTGATCTGCTTTTGTCAACTGAAGCCCCAAAAGATATATAATATTTTACTCCAGATATGGACCCACTTTAAAAACTGATGCCTTCTGCAGCATCGCCATGAAGAAAGCTGCATCTATATGAGCACCCTCTTGTTGTGACACTGAAAGCCATCCAGAACACCCAGAAATTAATTTTCACATCCAAGAAGGAAACATTTTAGTTTTTAGCACTTTTCTACATTGAGTTTGTTGCCTGAAAGGAGATGTTGTGCCATAAGCCCTTCTATCAACAATAACATGTTTTTTGGCAGCACCAAGTATCAGTGAGGGCCTTCATTTGGGTCAAGGTTCTGTCTGTTTTAACAGATATTCTGTCAATTCCTTCAGCTTAGCACAGGTTAATGGTATTAGGTTCTACCAATGTGTTTTATCTCCACAGCCCACAGAAAGAGGCCTTAATCACGCAACTCAACAATGCCACCACTTCAAAGACATGTTTTGGTATTAAGGGGTCAGGATAGTGGGAGTTCCTGGCAGAAAATAATTTGATTTACTTAAAAATGTTTGACTTATTAAGATAAAGAGTCGTAAAGTTTTGATAACTCCAGGAACAGAAAATCCAATTTTAGATGCATTCCTCATTTATTATCTACATTCAATCACTTGCTCCTGCCTTTATATTTTAAAGCTCATTAAACTAAAGGAGTTTAAAACCTACAGGCCTTCAAAAAAGGCAACATGTTGCATCAGGTGTTGTTCATGGTAAAGATTATCAGATTCCTGTTTGTAAAAATCTAAAATAAATAGTTTTACTCCACCTTTTCTCCACCTGCATTGGTCTGTCAAATATAAACTGGAATAAAACAGATTGAGGATTGTGGTTGAAAATAGACAAAATATCAATTCACAGGATTTCCTTTTGCCTTAGAGATCTTTCTGAACATTTTTAGCTCAGCCTACTTTCTTCCGAGTCCAAGCAGGGTCCCCCCACCCCCTGCTTCCCTCACACCCCTCACCCCTGAGTTCAGCTTGTCTGAGTTCAGCCCCTTCAGCTGGAGGCTCAGGTTTTTCTGGGAGCAAAGAGAAAGCCATTCAGGGGCTGCGAGCCGTCAGGAGAAGGAAGGCTCCATACGAACGCTGGGGGGGACAGGGACGAGAGTAGACGTGGAGCAGGGGATTTGACCTTTATTCCTGTTCAACTCAGGTCTGTGAGGGCGATCGGGGAGCTATGACGGTGCTTTCTGCTCTTTGGGTGATCTTTCTGTGCCAGCTTCTGTCCTCATCTTCAGCCCAGGTAAGGCTCGTCAAACAGCATTTTTCCTATCCTGAAGATATCTTCATTGTGTCTTAGTGTCTGCTGGATGCATGTCTGATGGGCCATCATAAATCATGGGCCATCCTGCATGCATCCATCTTATATGTTTGTGGGTTTTTTCTGTAATCCTGATGAGGCCTTATATTCATATTTTTACTTTCTCTGTTGTCGTGTAGAACTATAAACCACCTCAGTTAATAATTCAGATAAAATTTGCACAGGTGGGTCTGTAGCTGATGCAGTCGGAGTTTTATTTTTTCTCCTAACCTGTGGAATGTGCAGACTGAAAATCAGTGAGCACAATGCGGCCTCTGTTCATTCAGTACTGTTTAAGGCAAAGTCCTTACAGAGATCCATTCATTGAAATGAGTAAAAATAAAAAAAGAAGGAATACAATAATAATCCAAGTCATATTGTGCACAAATGGGGCTTAAAGCATGCTCTGTTTGCTTTCCATCATGTGTTGCTCTTCATATTAGACTGATTTGATTGTATACTCCGTTACATGAAATGAACCTGACTTAATTAGTGCCTTCAGCTGATATTTGCTATGAATTGGAATCTGATAGGGTTTTTTCTATCAGGCAATGTTATTAGACATTCTGCTTGTTGGTTATTAAAGCATTTCAGACACAAAACTCTGGTTTTAAAGCTTTTTTTTATTCTGCAGCGGCCTGGCCCCAGAGGACCCCCTGGGCCACAAGGACCCCCAGGGCAACCAGGAAGGGATGGCACTGATGTGAGTTTACCAGACACCAAGGGCACACTTAACATTTGCCTGGAAGCTGTACTCTTCCATGTTCAACTTTCAACCAATAGCAGTAATCAGATTAATTAGCTTAAAACTTCCTTCAATATTTTAGAAAAAAGCTGCTCTGAAGAAACTTCTGCCTGAGAGAAGCTCCAAAGGTTTTTCATATTTCTGATGCCAGGAAAGGTGGGAGTCAGAATCAAGGGGAGAAACTGCCTCCCTCACATTTAGGCTCTACTTCCGAATTGGCCGTACGGCCAATCACTCCTATAAGTGGACAGGCTTCCATGAATATTAATTAATTATTTGATAAGTTGTCTGATGAAAGCATAAATGTAGGAATGGCTGATGGATTTGACGTGTAACCAGTAGATCACCTCTTTATTAGTCGCCCTTCCAACACCTTTAGAAGGACACATTCTCTTGGTGTATTTTTTTATTTTGGATTCCAGTCACTTTTCTTTTTGTGCGCGTACATAAATGGAGCAGAAGGTCGTTCAATCAAAAATGTCATCACTGTGACTCCTCCTGCAGCTCCACCTACATTCATTAATTGTTACCTGTTGGATTAATGCAGGCAGAGTTTATGGGTGTGACTCAAAATACCACGTTTATTATTCCTGCTTAAAAACAGCAAATCTCCTTTAGTGGGTCATGTCAATGAAAGGAGAAGACACTAAAGGTATCATCACAATGATCTCTATTATTAGATGCTGGAATTTAGTTGGGAAATATGGAAATCTCAATAGTAAGATTTAGCTTCTCTTTTAAATTAGAAACTATTCATTAGGGTTAGTGCTGATTAATCATTTGCTTTCTGAATGTCCCACTTATTTATATACCAGAACATTTCTTCAGATTTTTGCTCTGGATATTTTAATACCTCCAGTAAAGTCTGGGCACACAGAGGACCCATTCATGCATTCCCCAACCCTGTGAGACCATCTAGAGTTTCAGCTCGCACCTCCTCCCTGCACCTTCTTCAAACCACACTGAGGCATTAAACATGTGACCA